TATATATATATATTAATCATTGATTTGATTTTGAAACAGCAAGCATTAAGGCTTTCGTGAATTAAGTACTACCACTACAATGGTGTTACCTATTGTTTCTTTCTATCATATGTTTAATTCTTTATATTTTCTCTGTTTCTAGAGTTTGAATATTGCCACTCTCCCAGTACTCAATGCCACATTTTTTTACTTTAATTAATTATTATATTTTTGTATTATATTTTCTTTTCAAAAATATAATAAATAATTAAAATAAAAAATAATATTAAAAATTAAATTAAAAAATATTAATTTTTTTAGATATAAAAATATAATTATTATGAGATAAACTTTTAATTAATTATTAGATTTTCATTTTATTTGAAAAAAATAAAATAACTATTACGATTTTTATATTACAAATATCATATAGACCATCTCTGTCATATTTCAAGAGTCTGAGTACGTGTGAACAGACACAAATGCCATAAAAAGGAAAAAAAATAAAAAAAATAAAACAGACAACATACGAACACACAACTTAGTTAAACTAGGAACCTATGAGTTCAATTATCGCGTCGCAGCAGCCTGAATTTCTTTGACAGTTGCACCATGGATTCGCAGACCTCCCTTCCATTTGCCACTCCAGACTTCGTACAGTCCGTAGTAGAGCCTTGGGTCACTGGCATCTGCTGGGACGTCAATTCGAAAGCTATTATTACTGTTTGGATCTGGAACATCCATGGGCTCCCTAGGACACTGCTCCAGTTGCGAAAGCCTTTTCCATATGTACTTGCCTCTCTTGCCTACCTTAGCCATCAAAAAAACAGGGCTGTTGGCCCACCCGAAGGCATCCGATTTCATGCTCAGCTTGAAACTTATCTGATACCTCTTGCCCTTCTCAACTGATACTGAACCTGTTACTTCTAGCCAACACACTTGAACCAGCTCTGTTGGATCCCTACACAGAAAACCAAGGTAAAGATGCTCAGAATCAAGGATAGACAAAATAAGATTAGTAATGCTACAAGCATCTTGTGTCTGAATTAGAAGTAACTATATTCAATCCTTAAAAGACAGGCAACGAAGGGTTTTGAGGAATGAGCAGACCATCCCTAGTGCAAACGAGAAAAGAAAACCAACAAGCTGAACGTTGGAAGATTCCTTCATGAACCATCCTATTGTAAATCTCAAGGAAAACAAACTTGCAAGTTCAAATCCTAAAATAGGCAGAAAGGAGTTTTGGAAAAGTTGGAAGACAATCCACACCTATTCTTTTCCTTGCATAAACCTTTGCTGATTCTCTGCCCTCTAGTGGTGTCGTGAGCATTTGATATTCAGGAGAGAAACTTTTCTTACCCTGATTGGGTTGAAATTCGCCAAAAGCCCTGGTCATTTCCCCAGACTATGTTGAATGCTTTTGGTCCCAAAGCGTACTTAACACCATCAGCTTCCTGTATAAAGAAAATAAAAGGAAAAATCATATACATAAGAGAAGCTATTACACATATAAAAGCATTCTTAACTATGCTTACTGGGGTGGTGGTAATGTCACTGGTGTCTGCATCATAATGAGGTTTGGATGCCATTTTGAAGTTGATCCGTACTAAATGTTTTGCAGGGTTGTGCTCAAAATGAAATGTCTAGAGATCCCTTTTTATACATAAATAAAGGAAAAGAGGAAGCGAAGGAAAGAACGAGTCACTATTTTCCAGAACAAGATATGACATTAACATGTAAGAATCAAAATGCTGTAAACTTTATCAAAACAACATGGTTCTTAGCTTTTGTTCTAATGTTGAAAGAAAAAACAAAAAAAAAAAAAACAAAAGAATATTATTAGGCAATGGCTCATATTGCCCAAGTAAAGTATATATCCTCTATTTTATTTGATTTTGCAATACCTAAGATTTAGTAGAATTTCTAACAGAATCAATACATGTCAACCTTGAACAACTACGGTAAATGCTGAAATCCATGAACGACCTCACCCACAAGAATACATAAAAACAAGTGGATTTCCCTGGAGAGGCTCTTTGGTGTCCCGGGGGATATCACTTCATCAGTATTCCCAACTCCCAACTACTAAATGGTGTCAGCGCATCAATACTGAATGTCAAAGCATCAAGTACCAGCATTGTTACTTCATTTTATTAATTAATTATTAGATTTTTATTTTATTTGAAAAAAAATAAACTTACTAATAAAATTGAACAAATAAAGTATAAAATCCCTGCATTTTATAAAACAAGCCATGAAAATTTATATTTCATCAAATGGCAGCTGCTAAACTGCAGAAGATAGAGTGAAATAGAATTAGATGCAATATGTCACAGAATAATCAAGCTTCAAAGCCCGAGAATATTTCATATTCATGCTATCCCTGTATTTTATAAAACAAGCCATGAAATTTATATTTCATCAAATAGCAGCTACTAAACTGCAGAAGATAGAGTGAAATAGAATTAGATGCAATATGTCACAGTAGTAAAAATAGCAGCAACGTTTTTAATATTTATATTCAGGGAGCCATTGTATTGAAGGATTTTGACATATCAAACGAGGCAGGTGGGGTTGACAGAGCAATCACTAAGAATTTCATTGCTACTGTATCAGAGAACCATCTTGAAATTCACCTACTTTGGGCTGGTAAGGGAATTTGTTGCATACCACAAGAAACTTCCCATGGACCATCCATTTCAGTAATCAGCGTGCTATCAAGTTTGGAAGTTTTTGGTAATAAAATTTACATTTTATCAAAAAAAAAAAAAAA